GGGGGGGGGGGGGGGGGGGGGGGGGGGGGGCGTCCGGAAGACGTCCTGAATTGAAGTAGGGAGAAGTAGATCTAATGTCATTTACCCTGGCAGTAGTGAAGACAAGTATCATTATCGAGTGGTAAAAGGCGAAGTGCCGTCTGGTGACCAGCCAGCATATACCAGCCGGTCCCTTGGTCCAGTTGAACCCCTTCAACGAAAGCTCGTTTGGGCTTTTGGGTCAAGCCCGTGCCGGTAGGCGTTGTTAGCCCCCCCCTCCCCCCCTCCCCCCCTTTTTCCTTATTTTTGCACGGGGAGAATCAATGCGTAGAGTGTCCGTATTTACCCTCGCGCCGTTTTTTTCGGAAATATAAATAAACGAAAAAGGCGCTTGCAAAAAAAGAGATGGTCGTCAAGGCCTGTGACTGAATCGAGCATGTGGTCAGGTCTGACCATGCCTACATGTGTGGTGCACGTTTTGCACGCCGGAGAAATGGCCACCCTATGCATACACGTAGACTAGGCCAACACACACGTAAAACATCCACGGTGTACTACTCTGAATCCCGTGTTGTTTTATCTTGACAGGATACAAGTCAATGGTAGCGAGGCAGCACACCGTTCGTAGCAGGTCAGGATACACACCAACATCAAGATGCGCTCTTTCTGGATGAAGAGCGAGAGAGAGAGAGCGTTCATCACAGGGTAGGCACGGTATATTCATCGAACATCAAGATCTCGCCCGTTCCTTCCTCCTGGTTACTGTAGTGAGAGAGAACGACTGACCGGAACTCACAATTTTTGACAACTCCGCTGGTGGCCGATCGATGGCGAAGAAACAGAGAGGCCACATGCAGACACACACGTGCTTACTTTACTGGTACATTGAACAGGCGGCTCTCAGCCAACATAATCTAGAATCAAGTGCGTCTACCGACCACTACAGGGCTAAATGACCAACACACCGTGACGCACGCCGCAGCACTGCTATTTGTATTGTACAGCATATGCATACAAACGCGGACTTAACAATTAGTCATCAAATGAAAAAATCATCTCTAGCGACGAAAACACGCCCTTTCGACGTTCAGTCGCTTTACGCTGGACAACGAGGAGGTCGTCGAAAAAACACGAGACCCCGATCCGCTTCTTGGGACCCCCCCCCCCGACACCGTTTTTTTTGTCTCGCCATGAAAGACTGACGTCTCTTCATCGGTCAGTCGGCCAGCTAGCTCGGTCGAAGCTACTTCAACCAAAACATACACACGTTTTCTGTTTTCAACCGCACCTGAGACTGACGCATTTTCATTGGTCAGCCGGTCAGCGTGGTCTATACTAATAATAAACACAACGCACGACGGCACACGTGAACACTTTGGGTCCCCCTCCCCCCCCCACCCCCCCCATCCCTCAGCCAACTAGAAAGTACATCCCAAGTGTATTGTCGTCAAGGGTAAGCGCCGCTGCCCCAGATCGACCGCCAGTCAGTCCATCTCAGGCTGGAAAGACGGGTTCCCGCAAACTACAGCAACACCACTTCTTCCTCCTCCTCCTCCTCTTCCTCCTCCCCCTCCTCCTCAAGAATCACAAGCACACACCAGGCATAGTCTACACTACACGACAACAAGAGAGAGATACCACTAAAAAAAGCTGGAGAAATTTAGGTCGAGAGGTGGACGCGCTCAAGTCTGAGGAACGGTTATTGTTACAAATGCGTGTGGCCCGACATCCCCCCCGCGAACAGGTCGTGCGGGATTTTTTGTGCAACACATAACGTCCAAATATGCACAAAACACGAAGTATTATAAACCTGTGTTGCGCCTACCCCCCCCCCCCCCCCCCCCCCCCCCCCCCCCCCCCCCCCCCCCCCCCCCCCNGGGGGGGGGGGACGCAAACGGTATTGTACGACAGGCGACAAGAAAAAAACAAGATGGGATAATGCTGTAACTTTGGATGAAAAACATCTACCAAGCGCCAAAGCCTAAAATATAACTAAAACGCACACTGAACACACGAGTAATTAATTTACAAATGTTGAGTATGACGCCGCGCCCGCCCGCCTCTCCGCCGCCGCCGTCTGTGCTATATTCAAATTCGCTCCGAACCGTTGGCGACACCAGACGAGGGCTTTTGATGGGGGGCAGGCGAAAGGACTGATCCAGGCTTGACCCTCGTCACCGTTCTAGCTTTATCCTGGAGACGTCAGCAAGCACAACACGGTGGGGGGGGGGTGTACTCATAATCGTGCATGCCGTGGTCGATAGACCATTGACCTCGCATCCCTACAAAGCCGGGACGGAGCACGCCGGGTTCTCACCGGACCAGGCTCAGGTGTGTGTGTGTGTGTGGGGGGGCAGCAGTGCGGAATGGGAATGTACAGTAGATCCGGTAATGGATGTGGACACCATCGGCAATAGATGTTTCATCTGGCAATAAACCTTCATCTGGTAGTAGATATTTCATCTGGCAACAGACTTGCATCTGTGTCGAAACGGACCAATCGTAAACGAGACCAGGCGACGGAAAAAACGTGGCACGTTCTCCCATTGTCGGAGATGTTTTTTTTTTTCGTTCGAGAAAGGCCACCTCGCATGATTATTTTCTCGCACACACAAACGCCCGCCCAAAACGGGTTTAGAAGTGGCAATATGCCCATTCGATCCTCTTCCAACCTACATCTCATCCGGCGGCATCGCGTCACACCAAGCGAGTTCTGAGGCGTGCTTCACATTTATCTGTCTGTGTGGGGAGCACCAGTTCCTCCGCGAACCTCCCCCCCCCCCCCCCCCCCCCCCCCCCCCCNCTGGCCTGGTCGCCGTCACCTTAAGAACAAAAGGAAGGAATGGATGACGCTCAGGGCCTTGCGGGGGACAGTCGTACTGAGTGGGGTTGTTCGACCGCCTCTCAAGCCAAGAAGGCAACAGCAGCATGTTTATACATTACCACCGAGAATGAACACCGAAAAGGAACAACATATCCAGATCCCTGGAGTATTGAGAGTGGGTGGGAGAAGGAACAAAGTAGAAAACTGAAAAAGAAATCCTACCCTACCGTAAACTACCCTACCGCCCCCCCCGCCACCAATCGATGATCGACCCTGAGGGAACAATGCTCCATCGGTCCTCTCGAGGATGCGTGGTCAATGGTCAAGTACCGCTACTGAAAGGCATGCAAAACAACATGAGTACGCCCCCCCCCGCCCCCGCCCCCGCCCCCCTGCCCTCGAAATCGCGGCGCGCCCCTTACCCAACAATAGGGTTCTCGTCCGTCGGCTGAACCCCTTGAACCGCACCGCTCACGCCCACCCTGAACACTCTCTCGAACACGCCCGTCACGACCGCGATCACTGCATCGTCCTCGTTGGAAGGATTAGCGTCACAGATCTGAAGTCGAACCGGCACGCGCGCGCGCGGGGGGGGGGGGGGGGGTGGGTGGGTGGGAGGGGTACTCATAGTCGTGCATACCGTCGTCGTTAGANCCGAGCCGATGTAGCCGAAGAGAAACAAATCGGTCACGGCAGCGTAGTACTGTAGCACACCCGAGACAGTTCGACGCACAGCAGCACCGTCTCATGGGTCGGCCTCCCCGAACCAAGACAACCACACACGAGAAGAGAGCCACGAAAAAAAATGACCGCACAGTACGAAGAGGAGAGGCGAAACCTCCCTTAGACTGATTTACGAAGCTCAATTAATCCACAATAAATAAGGAGTTTTTTCGAGACATCTCGTCGAGGGCTTTCCGTCAATGCATCGGTCTCTTTCCACCCCCCCTTGGTTGTGGAGCTATCGAATCAACCTTGGAAACGGTGCCACTCTCTCCGCCTCTTCCGGCAATCGAGCTCAACAAAACATTGTTTTATTCATCACCTTGTAGCTCATCTCCGTTGTCACCGTCACCCGCACGCAGGCCCGATCCCGGGAATCTTTACCGCCTTCTCCCGCCCCCGGCCCGGCCGCCCCGGTCGCCGCCCCTACCCCGCCTCTCGTCGACGGTACCGCAGACGTTGACGCGAACGCCGAGAGACGGCCCCCAGCCCCGCAAACGCCTTCATTAGTCGCCGCCGCCGCTGCCGCCGCTTCCCCCTGGGGCGATCTCGGCCGCCTATTGTAGGAGCCCTCCGACGAGCGGCGGTCGGCCTGCCCCGTACCGCTGTCGAGGTGTGTCGGTGGCCGCGGCTTGTTGTTTTTCTTCTCCGCTTCACCCGCTAGAGGAGTCGCCGCCGCTGGCGCCGCTGGCGCCGCTACTGGTGTAGTCGCGCCCGTGGCGGTCGGTACGCCGACGCTACCCGCCCCCGGACGCGGGGGCAAGGGCGGCGGCAACGCGGGGCGCGGTGGTAGCGGAGGAGGCCTGGCACCGGCGCTGCTGCTGCTGCTGCTGCTGCTGCTGTTGCTGGCGCCGCCGCCGGTGCTGATCTTGCTGGTGCTCCTGGTGCCGGTGGTGGTGATGGTAGATTTCCTGGTAGCATTGGCAAGCTTGGCCGCATCATCATCCCCTCCTCTGGCCGTGCCTGCCCCTCCCTCGGTGCCGGCGCTGCTGGTGGTGCTACCGCCACCTTGGCCTCCTTCAGCCTTTTCCTTAACCTCCGCCGTCGTTTCCGCCGCCGGTTCCCCGGCAACAACAACAACGCCCCTGCGTGGTGGAGAAGCCAGAGGAAGCGCCGCAGGTGCGGGGTACGACTTTCTGCGGGAAGGGTAGATCGCATCCTCAGAGCAGGCGGAGACACAGGACGCGGCTTGGGGTGTGGTGGCAGGCATGGAAACACGGCCGGGCTGCCGTGCCGGGGGCGTTTGTTGCCCCGGTGCCGTCTTCTCGTCCGCTGCCCCTCCTGCCTCCATGGCGTAGTCTCCGACCGGAATAACGCCCAGCACGGAGTTCATCTCCACGGGGCTCCATCTCCCCGACCCGGTGCCGTTCCAAGTGGCCGACAACGGAGAGAACGGCTGTTGCTGCTGCTGTTGCGGGGGTGGTAACGGCAACGTGAAACCAGAAGCGGCAACGGCGGCGCTGGCACCGCCGTCGCCACCTCCTCCGCTCGAAGGCGCGGTCAAAGGGGGGGGAGGCAACACGTTTCCGGCCTTATCGCCGCTGCTGGTCCCGCACGCAGTCCCGGCAGTCATCGCCGTTGTCGGGGTAACCGACGCACCCGGCGATAAGAGGGACGGCAGCGGTGCCGCCGCCCCCCCTTCTCTCTTCTTGCTGAGGCTGAGCCCGAAGCTGTCGCTGCTGTTGTCGATCTCGAACTCCGCGGAGATGTGGAGGGAATCGGTCTCGTTGGAAGCCGGGCAGACGACCACCAGCTCGCGGCTCATCCCGCAGAGGCGGTCGACGCAGACCCAGACGTCCCCGCCGCTCGACGTACGCTTGGTGGAGAGCAGGATGTCCCTGTTATACATGAGGACGGTCAAAAACGGAGGGTGAGAGAGCGAGCGGAAGGGGAGGGGGTGAGAGAGCGAGCGGAAGGGGAGGGAGAGAAAGGGCTCTTGACAATACACACGTGGATACAGCTTTTCCTCAACAAAATCACGACTTCCCCTTGATGCTTTCCATATGCTTTTTTCCTCGCCTTCCTCCCCCCCGCACAATGCAACGGTATTTCAGCGCATCTCCCGATCCGATACCGTAACCCCCCCCCCCGCGACGTCGTGGTCAAGGAACAATTGTTTGACGTGGTGGAAGTAGTGGTGACAACGGAGTTCGAGGAAAGCCTATGGCTTAAGATACCTGGGGAGCGGGGTGAGAAAG